CTTCTCAGGTACCTCCAGAAGAACCCTTCCACGGGGTGAGCAACGGGAAGTGATAACCGCCCTCAAACCTCTAACAGCATTCGAGATCACTGATAAAGTGGGTGGCACATTAGTTTTTCATGCCATCGACATATGAATCTGTTCAGTCGCAACAGACTTACAAATATATATTTACATATGAAGCTGAACCAAGTCAAACTTATATTGACAGAAAATATTGACTGTGAAACCCATTTTCTTGTGCTGTGAATGTATAATTATGGTTTTATTAGAGAGGATACGTTACATAAGTCAGGATTGCTAGACGTTACCATCAAAGTCCATCAAGAACCATTAACAAGTAAACTAGGGAGAGCAACAAGACTTGGGAAGGACAGTATATTTCAATGGAACCAGAGATAGATGAATGTGAGATCAATAAGGTGAGTATCTATCGGAAGTGAAGCATCTGATGTGGGCAGTGATAAGACTATAGGTTACCATCAGGATTGATTTAGCACCAAAGAAACTAGTAACGTGTTCTGGATTTGATATAATAGCAATATATTTACAGAGTTCTAATATATTTGAACATGTCCTTTTATGCACCTAGATTCACATAGAATTCCGAATGAGCTTCAGTTTTCTGTGAAGAGATAACCTTTTTATAGTGACATAGAAAATTGTTAACAGAGCTTATTGTAAACTTTGCATGAATAGGTTTCGATTTTTCGCTTTTTGTGCATAGGCGTGTGTTTGCACACTTTGTTGATCTCAATTTTTTTTAACGCAGCAGTGATTTCAGTTCACTTTACCTTAATTATACTGGTTTCATCAGGTGATGTTACAGATGTATCGTTACTTTTCATAGCTCACCTAAGAAAATAATTAACAAACAAGTTTCTGTGAACACTAGAGGACTTTTTATGTGCATACTATGATTACGGTCAATCATGTTAGTTTTTGGCAGAAGTATCCTCTATAACATTAACATCAACAATTTTATTGTAATGAGTTGAATTCAAAAAAAATAACGGAAGTACAAGAGAAGGACCTGATCATAAAAAAAAGTAACCAGCATATTCATTGTAGCATAATAACGATAGTTGAAAAACAAAACATTTGTGATTTCTGGAATGATATAGTTGTTGTTCTCATTAAGTATAGGAAAGAACACTAACTTCAAATGGTTGTATCTAATTTGTGGTTTAAAAGAGAACCATTTGTAATCTAGTAAACGTCACAGATTAGTTGAAACCTTATCCACATTTGAAAAGTATATATAAATATTTGTTTTAAATATCATTCAAAGAAACGTAAATTACTAAATTGAATCGCTCTTTAACAATGATTAGTTTACTAAAGTTTAACCATATTAATTTATTCAAAAACCCATAAAAAAAGAGATATGACAATGAACTTAATATTTTGGTTGAATAAATACTGTACTTTCATGAGTGATTTAATTTTTCTTAGTATAAACTACAAATGTTTTAAAGTTTGAGCATTGCAAAAAATCTACATAGAAATAGCTTAATACAAATAAACAACAAAATAATTACAATACTTATTATTTCCTAACTAAAAGATTGAATAACAAAATAATCAGTAGTTTACTTACGGAATAAGATTTTATGAAAAACAGAAAGGACAATAGCGATAAATAAAAATAATAAAAATGAGTACATCGGACGATAATCTGTCAATCATTAAATATGTGTACTATAAATGTGTAATTTTAAAGATTCGTGATATCAGTGCACTGTAGTAACTTATTATTTCAGCAGATACTATTCTATAAATAGACGATCTCTTTTTGATTTACCAAATAGTTGATGTTTTGTGCGCACATACACACAAACACACTGTAAGGACAAGAGAATATTTGTTTATCTTTTATTAATTGGCGGAAAATAGACTGAAGTGGAGTTTTGCTGAAATTTGACTGATTTTTTACATTTATTATTGTCATTATTTTCTGATGATTTGAGTGCTTTATTCGGTTTCATTGTGACGAACTTTACAACAACAGAGAAATTAAATGCTTTTATAATAAAAATGAACTATAATAAATAATTGCATATATATGTATATATAAATTTATGGTCAAGATAAACAATGTTTTTTTAATATTTTGTATGATAGAAATGTTCAGAATGATTAAATATTCTAAGTACTTTCAACTAATATAATTGCTAATTAAAACGTCTCAGTAAATTACAGATCATTACTAGATCCTATGGACTTCGCAAGTTTTTATTTGTTTGTCAGCGTCATACAGCTGAGGTGTCATCGTAGACTATCCTCAGAGGTAAACACACTAATTCAGTCAATTATATCAAGTCTACATTCAGTAAAAGCTATTATTTAATATTGACCCATGGTGAAGAGTTGATAGAGTTATTAGGGGAATTCGTTAAAGCTTATGCCATCAAAACTTTGTTATTCAGTATCAGCTGAATGAGACAAAAATACAGAAGCAAACAAATCGAATAGTGAGTTGTTTCGCATGTGACTAAAGTGTGATTAGTATATTCATATTATTATATATAGAGTTTTCCTGTGTTTCGCAGATGACTTAGTTCTACAGACCATATTTTCAGCGAAACTGTTAAATTAATTTATTCAGCATGTTAATATAACGTATCTGACATCTGATTTTGATTACATTTACACAATAATTAAATTGTCTTGATGGTTAGCTAATATTAAATGACCATTTCGGAAAACTTCATGTTCTGCAAACAGTAACGATGATCAAAGTTGTAAGTGAACTAGAGTCATGACAGTATTCGAGCGTGCGTTGTTTAATGTGCCAGACCATAGGTTTATCAAATAATTAGTGATTATATTCCTGCCTAAATATCCATTGAATTGATCAGTTTAGTTTTACCACTTAGAATGTTCTATTTAGAGGACTTTTGTCAAACAATACAAGAATAAGTATAAGAACTTAACTCTTGAGAATCCTTTTACGAATCCATGACTGAATATAAAATCCATATTGTCGGATCGGTCAGCAGGCTATTTGAATTAACATTCAATTAAACTCAAATTATCCTGGGCTAAATGAAGTTTATGGGCACGAATAAAGGAGAACCAAGTAGAACCGAAAATAAGAGGATGTAAATCAGTTATGTCGGTCATAAATGAAAATCTTAAATGGAGCTTCAGTAAATCGGTATTTTGAATAGTAGAGTGAAAAATTCTCCGAAAACAAAAAAGCACTCATTGCACGTGTCTCTATCCGCTGAATTCCTTCAAGTTCACATTATCGTCAGTTGGTCGTAATCGATTGATTTTTTTGAAAAGCCCTCAACAATCTCGAAGTAGTGTTTCATTAGTTTTCTCTATTTTTAACTTTTATCTGTAGAATTATCAATAACTACTGATGAGGGTTTGTTTAAGTGAACGCGGAATGTGGTTATAGTTTTTAACACTAAAATACTACCCACAGAACGTAGACTGTGAATAAATTTATTAACAAGGTGTATTTTTCTATATGGATTCACATTGTAATCAGGGAATAAATGTTTTTCTTCAAAGCGTTTTTTAACTGCTACAAAGAGAATCAAGAGTAAAACAATTGTATGAGAAAAAATAACTTATTCACATAATTAAAGGTTGTAAATATTTTTTACTAGTGACAAAAAATGGTCTTAACTAATTTTGCATTGATGTTAAAAACTAGTACTTAAAAAGCAGGCAGTTTGGTCCCGTATTTCAATGCATACAGATTCAGGACGATAACCTGATGGTTATGTGTTCCTAGTCCTGTTATATTCTGGATTTAAAATCAGTTTCTGTCTATTTATTTTATCCATTTATTAATTCTCAGCTTCAACATCATAGACAAATCTTATGGTCATTGAAAACAAAGACTATTCATCCACTGTATGTATTCTTTCTTCTCAAAGACTCGAAGTAAATGATGTATTCCGTTCATTTTATTCATCGTGACAAATATGTGATAAATTGGCTGATGAACTTCGAGTATCTTAAACTTGTCTGTTGAGATAACATCTCATCATAATTATTTGCTCAGCTCAAACAAATTACTGAGTAAATAAGCACGAATAAATGTAGAATATCCTTTGTATTCACTAGATTATGTCAATATTCATCATACAATTGGTTCGTGCCTGGATTTAGTCAGATTCACTTATATTTTTTATGAAGATACGAAATTTAATAACGTAAGTATTGAAGATTATTATTTTAAAGTGTGTGGATTAATATAATATTCATTGTATTTGACATCGTGTAGGTTGTCAACAAACGCTTATCAAGATAACTTGAACGTCAAGACTAAATTAGTGTTCTGTCAATGAAATTGTATGGTGATTCATTAGCAATTCCAGACAACCATATATTTGTGTATCGTATTACATATATTTTCCTGGCGTTTTCTATTTTCGAAATAATGGTTTCATTACTTAACATAATGTACGTTGGTTCAGCTGTATTTATTGTTCTAGACCTCATTTAGTTTAACATGTGAAGGTATCTAGTATAAGTGTCAAACATGTACTATTGTTTGTCCTAGGAAAGTGAATTTGAGCGAAAACCTAGTAACACATTAATTAGAATCATATTGGTATCTAAAAATTACTTCATGTTCCTTTGTTTAACAGTCATTTTTATACAAAATATTTTAAGAATTTTGTAATTCCGTTTGATATCTTGTCATATCTTCAATAATGCAATGTAATATTTTAACTTATGTGACCTATGTACAATTTATTCTATCTTGGCAGAAATAATTCTTTAGGACAGATTATGACATATATTGACATTTTCAGCTAAGGAAACATGGTCATAAGAGACTGTTCACTTCTTACCAATTTGAAATATCTTAATAACCGGCTAAATACAAGAAAAATAAGTGGTTGCTACAGAGTTGGAATACTAGTTTTTGTTTCAATCAAAATAGTTGGTAGAGATATGCATGCAACATCATTATTTACCGATCACTTTTTCAAAGTTTATCAGTTATGTTAAAAATAAATTTCATTATAATATCAATAAATCAAACGTTTTATGTATAAATTACAAATTTCAGTGACTGCATTTTTCATATTTTTTCTAACTGATCCACGTTCTTCTTTATCTGTAAAATAATTTTCTGGATGAACAATAAAATCTGGTTGTTCCATTTCAGTTATTTGATCAAGGGTACTTAACTGTAAAGTCTAATCAAGTGAAACAAAAAGGCATTAAATAAATTTATTTATGATAAATAAACTGGAGTAAAATACTAGACCAGTAACTTAGTAGTAAAGTTATATTTAGGCTGACCTCCTGTTGGACTGAGATATATTTACGATTGGTTGACCACTGGTTAGTGACCACTTTCATGTATGTCAGTTCCGCAAGAGGTCGGTCTTGGTCCGGATAGCTCAATGGTAACGTCTCTGACTGTGAAGCTCGGTTTTAAGGGATCAAATTTGCTAGTGATCATTACTCCCATTAAGATCACAGGTACACCTTGCTGATGAGTGTCAAACAGCATGGAGCGTGAGTACAGGGTTCTCCGTAGACTTCATCTATTCACAGTTTTACATCCCAGTATTTATTTTTACATATTAGTGGGTTAACTATGTTTAGAAAAAACTGGTTTCCGAGATCCAAAGTTCGCATTAAGAAACCAGATATATATATATATATATATATATATATATATATATATATACTTACATGATATGAGTTGCGATTATATTGACTCGCTCCTTTAGAGCCTGTATTCAAAAACTCGGTGAAAACTGAGTGGTTTACGTTGACGCTTATTCAGACGTTCTTTTTGATATACTTGACCTATAGACAGTAAAGTAGATCGGGAAAATACATACAAACAAATTGTCGTAAAAATAGCATTCAGTTAGCTAATGTGACATTTCTCCAGAAGCCTTATTTGAACGCGATGCAAATAAATAACCAATTAGTCTCAACAAGAAAGCTAATTGGGCTAGTCATGAGTCTTCATGGACTAATGTTCAAGTAGATAATGTAATTTAAACAAAATAAGTCTATAATTTCTCTACTTTCAGATAGGAAAAAGATGAGCGAGTTCACGTACATCACATACTTGTTAAGATAGATTTCATATTGGTTTTAGGAATATACAGTTAGGAAAAAAGCAATACATTCGTAAACTTACAATTCTCAATTTTTGCATCAAAAGACGTAACCAAACAACTTGGATGTAATGAACTATTTGTTTGTAATTGCAATGATAACATTTAGTTCTAAATTACATATATTGGATGCAATAATGATCTTTAGACATCTGAATATTTCTTGGTATGTTTATGGATAGAATATGAATTACAAGGTTTAGATTTAGATAAACAAGAACTTACTAATCACTTTCTTGACGAGATTATGCATAAGCAAAGTGAGTAGTTATTGATTTTGACGTTACTTAACTCAGTGGAGAAAAAGATGTCATATAAAATGGGACTTTTAAAGCTTACCTAATATAGTATTTTCCCACACATTTACTTGTAATTTACTCAGATTATTAAGTAACATTAGGTGATCTGATTCTTCTGTTGTTTCATAATTCAAGTCACTATGATATGTTTTATCCTATTAAAATGAAAATAATCAAATTTTTTTTGTAGAGATCTCTAACAAACTAGCTATACAATATGAGAAATAAAAGACAGTAAATTATGGAATAATGTTTTTACTTACATTTGATTTGTTGGAAACTTTTCTAATTCTTCCAAATGATACGCACTTTTCTTTTAGGATATGATTGGACGTATCAATGCGACCATCTTCTACGGTAATAATTGGTGGTAAAATAATTTCCCTTTGAATATTTTCTAATTTCCATCTGCTTTCCTGAAATACAGTTGGTTGAATATTGTAAAAATATAAACTTATAATCATGTAATTATGGACAGAAATACAGTTTAATTTAGTTGATCAATTGTATAGATTGTTAAAAATTTAAGATAGATTTCGTCACGGATTGGATTTAGCTAGATAACTACTTAAAATAAGGAGAGCTTGTTAAGGGATATACCATAAACACAAAAGTTGGGATCACAGGCTTAAAAACTTCAATTTTAATCAAAGCATTATGTATTCAATTAAAACAACACTTACTAATCCTCTGCTAATGATTTAATATTATTACTATTCAATACATTTGTGGTGTATACAGTGAAAGTGGTTTGTAGCCTCAATCATCAGTGATTCATATGAAAAATGTAATAAAGCCGGACAAAACACAGAAAATGTTAAATCAGTCAGATAGAAGGACATGCTTAACAGATTTACTAGTTATGTAACTTAGTCATGGTAAGTTTACTCCAAGGAGTGTATAGTCATTTCTACTCTAATCATCGATAATAATTATGAAAAATTTGTAATTAACCGATTCATCATGTTAAAAACTATATGACTGGCGTTTGCAGAGAAACATATAATTAGAGTTTTACTAATAAGGTAACATTAAAAAGGCACTTAAAATACTGAACAGTTTAACGAAATAAGTTAGACTTTATTATAAAGTTAAGACTGAAACTTTGTAGAGAAAAATTGGGAAATTGTGATAATTTATTAGCTATTTGAATAGAAGGATATACAAGATGACTGTTAGCTTAATGCTATAAATAGTGAATTTCAAATAGATAAAAACTTTCTATTCGTTTAAAAGTTGTGACCAGCTATTGCAACTGAGTCAAAAGATGAAACTGAAGAGAATTGTATATAAAATCTATGCCTGACGGACTAAATGTAAAATTTACATCATTAATATCTATTCAACCAAACAAGGTTTTTCAATGTTATTAATATGTAAAATCAATAAAAACGGAAACAAAAGAGGAATACCTGGCCAAATATTCCTATTTTCGTTCCGTTTAATGTCCATAACATCACTGTCCAATCATGAGATCCTGTAACCACGAAACGTCTACATTCCGTATGTAGACAGAAACACAGAGCAGAAATTAAATCTGTATGGGCTCTCCATTTACCTATTAAATCTTTAAGAAAAGTAATAAAGTCTAAGAATAACAAATTTTCAATTAGATCCTCATCAGGCTTTACTGTATTATAGAGTAATATGCACATTACTTACTTACACATACTACCACTGGAGGAAAAGCATAGGCCGTCCACCAGCATTCTCCAGAGAGATCTGTTCTTTCCAATTCTTTCCAGTTGCTACTCATCCTTTGTATGTCCGCTTCCAACTCTCGATGCAGTGTGTTCCTTCGTCTTTCTCCTCTTCTCCTCCCTTCAGGATTCCAAGTCAGCTTTTGTCTCGTCATGCAGTTTGATGACTAAAGCAGTACATGTCCTATCCACCTCCGACGTCTTTTGCTAATTTGCTCTTCATCTGGAAGCTGGTTTGTTTTCTTCCAAAATAGGTAGTTGTTGATGATCTCTGACCAATGGACATGGAGTATCTTGCGTAAACAACTGTTTATAAATACATGTACCTTTTTAATGATAGTTGTAGTGGTTCTCCAATTTTCAGATCCGTACAACAGAACCGTCTTGACGTTCGTATTGACGATTCTGACCTTGATGCTTGTTGACAGTTGTTTTGAGTTTGCTATGTTTTTCGACTGTAGAAATGCTGCCCTAGCCTTGCCAATTCTTGCTTTTATGTCTACATCAGATCCTCTTTGTTCATCGATGATATTGAGCAAGTACTTGAAAGTTCCCAGCTCTTCCAGAGTTTCTCCATTTAGTGTGATTGATTTAGTGTTCTCCGTGTTGAATTTGAGGATCTCGCTTTTTCTGTTGTGTATATTGAGGCCTTCTGCTGGGGAGGCTGCTGTTACACCAACTGTCTTCATTTGTATTTGTTGGTGTGTATGGAATAGAAGAGCTAGGTCATCTGTGAAGTGCATATCGTCTGGTTGCATCCAAGCTATACATTGTATCTTGTGCTTCCCCTCAGATGTGGAGGTTTTCATAATCCAGTCACAACCACCAGAAGAGGAAGGAAGGAGAGTAAGGAGCCTTGTGTGACACTGGTCCTTACTTGGAATGCATCTGTCAGCTGTCCTCCATGGATATACAAAATTATTGAACCAATAGTTCAGTTTATTAGTCAGTGATAACAGTGGAGTAGATTACATAAATAAACATAATAAATAAAGAGTATAACTTGTTAGTGTGATAATAAGTTATGTTCATACTAAGCGTATATAATTAATTAGGTTTAACACTAACGTATTTTTTATTGCATTTTCATTGATAATTGTATTCAACTATCGAAATTTAAATATTTGTATGTAACAGTTTGGGGCCTAGTAGTGATGAATAATTTTTAATATTATTCTAGATAAATCTCATTTTCTTTAAAGAAGAAATGAGAATTTGAAACTGAATAAAATACATAGAGATTGACTCAATTGACAAATTATATAATTTTTATGATTGATTTTGTTGTTTTGTTGAATAGCAATACTTTTAGTCCGATGAACTGACTAGTATATAACTGGACTTTTACGAATAAATCATTATGCTTATTTCTAAAACACTTTAAATTTTCTGTACTTAAGTACATGAATTTTTATATGCTTTGGGAAAAATTAATTTTTTCATTCTATAAATATCATCAGGAGAATATTTATTTTTTTAGGTAGAAATAATGTTTGAAGAGTCTTCCGAGTGATTAATTAAAAAGTAGTTAGTGAGGTTTAATTCATGAAATAAGTTTTAATTGATGTCGATAATCACTGTCCGTTGATTTGATCATGTTTTACAAACATATAGCATTGATTTATTCTAGCACTAGGGTTGGTTTTTCAGGTCACTACGGTTTGTCTTCGTACTGATGATTGTCATTATTTTCAACCAATTCAACAATTACATTAATCGCAACACCTAAATAATCCATAAACATCAAGTAAGGAAGATAGAAAACCGTCGCATGTCATATGAATAGTACAGAGATATATTCAGTTAACGTTAATAGCATTTAATTTCATCTTCACTATCTTGAAACAATTGATGATACGGATAGTAATCATATTTAGCTAAACAAGTGCCACGAATTGAAAAATAATACAACTAAGATAACTGGGAGAAATCACAGACTAGTGTTAAAGTTTTAAATAAATAAAGCTTGATGATATATGTCAGTTCTTGTTTTAAATTTCATGTTATGTTACTGGAATTTTTCTATAATTTGTGACTGTTCGGTAGTTTCTATATATATGTTATGAAGGAAAGGGTTTCCATGATTTTTTCCATAATCTTGTTCGATATATATGATACAATATTGAAGTTTTATTACGTAGGAAGATGTCAAAGTATCCCTGCATAACGCGAAACGTTTTTGCTATTATGCTGAGAAAACGTCTACGTAAAAGCTGAAATATATTTTTGAGTGAACATCGTACTTTTGATGATACTGAACAACAATAAATGAAAGGTTTATTTTTATCGACGTTGATTGACGATCTTGACTATTTTTCAATAACTTGAAAACTGAAGTCGAAGGAGTAATGTTGAAATCCAGCTGGCATTTAAAGAAATTTTTATTTAATTGAAGCGACATGTAATTAAGAGTAGAATGAATTTGTAATTCTTATTTTTTTATACGATATTGTAGCATGATGTACATAATTTGTATGAGACTGAACTGTGATAGGCAGTAACCTCTTGAATATAAGTTTTCATAATTTCATATTAGTACTGCGAAGGTTGATAAATTAAATTTGGCATTGTGTCTTATTATGTTTTCATTGTATTCATTGTCAACGTATTTATTATTTTTATGAGTTAAATAATATATAATATGGATACAAAGAAGATGGTAACTTACTTGGAGCATAATTGACTTCCATTTCTCCTTCAGTTAAACAGTAGTTCTTAATATCCCATGTTTTAACCATACCGTCGATGTCACCAGTAGCTAAATATTCATCAATGGGGTCGATTGTCATAATGCCTATGTAAGTAGATATAGAAAATGTATCTTTTAAATTTTAACATCTAAAGAGGTGGTTATTAGGTTACTTTCAAAGAAGGTAATGAATACTATTTGTGTAATTTATTCCAGGTTGTTAATTTTATTTTCTAGAAAAATAAATAATCACAACACTTTAAAAGTTGCTGACATAAATGAACCTTGTTAATTTTAATGTCATACTTTACATTGCTCCAAACATATAAATAATCAATTCCCTAGGGTTTGTATTTGTAAACATTTCTGTAATTACTAATAACCTACCGCTATCTTTAAGAACAAATTCATTTTACGAGCAAGTAAATGTAAGAAAATTAGACCATGAAAGTTTTGAAAAGCTTTTATACTGGCAATAATGAACGGTAAAATAAGAGAGTGGTTGACTAACCAATCTTCTACTGTTTGATTTGTTGACAGAAATTATGTTTTCGAATAGATAGTTATACTCGATCACTTTGTTCTGACTAAAAACTTAGAAATCTGTTGTTTGTTGTGAATGACCAGTTGTGATATGAACAGATGAAAACCCTTTTTTTAGATATCAGTGTTTTCATTTGATGAACATTTAACCTTTAAATTCTACTGGGATTGATAATTTTTATTTTTTATTATTTCTAGAATTATAAAGCAGTTGGAAACACGCACCTTTGTGATGCTCTTAGATTGTTTCACATTATTAATCAGGTAAATTTACATGTTGTTTCGAACTTGACAACCAATATTGTCCATAATAATACTCACCCAGCCAATCATCTTTCACATTTTAACTACCGAAATTTTACAAAATCATTCATAAATTATGGACTTGTTGAAGGTATTATTCAGCTACTTTATGCCAAAAAAATAAAGCTAAAATTCCATAACAGAAAATGATCAAAAGACAGAGTGTTCTGCACATTTTAATAAATGTTAAATCTACAAAAAGCGGACAGAACTTGCCATTTTCATGAGCTACAAATTCACCTACTAAAATACCAGAATGTACATTCCATTTCCACTACAAGAAACAAGATTCGCACCTTTCTGACTACCTGATCCAATATGTTTTCGTGTAGACAGTATTATAATACGTGAAACACTGTACACACAATCTGGCGACTTGGATAGCCATAAGAAAAAGAAATTAAAAATTCTAATTAGTGTTTTTGATAGTATGATTTAAATCAGTTTTCAGGCAACATTTTAAGATGATCACCAATACTAATTTAGCAATTTCCGCAAATTCTGTTGTTACGAAGTCTACTAATTTTCACAAAAAGCATTTTAATAAATTCACGAGAGTTATGTCTTGACTCAAAATGTAAAAAAACAGAATTTATTTGATCTGGCATAGAGAATAAATGATTGTATGTTAATAATGGTTTTGACACTTGTGGATAATAGAACACGGCCTAATGATAATAACTTACATAGACATGGTAAAACTAAGTTAATATGTAGAACTGTGGACCTCATTAATTTTTGATTGAGATCATGAATCGACTGATGTTAGACCACCGTTGGAAACCTGGAAGCACTGGACGGCCGCTTCGTCCTAGTATGGGACTCCTCAGCAGTGCGCATCCACGATCCCGCTTGCGAGATTCGAACCCAGGGCCTTCAGTCTCGCGCGCGAACGCTTATCCTACTCGACCACTGAGCCGGCATCCAATGGTGTTGGTGTTTAACATCAACCTCATTAATTATTGTAAAATGTTCAAGACAAAGGAACTTATCAGTGAAATCATATAATAATATATACTTAGGTTCCTTTGACGAAAGTAATTTATGTCCAATTATTATTTACAATTTATAATTAACATTAGTTTTTTTCATTCAAACCAAAGTATGAACCATAGCTTTTGGAGGATTTTAATTAAATATATTATAGATATGAACCGAAACCCATTAACTGATCTAGTTTAATAAAAGAGAAGCTATTTGGATACTAGTGTCCTGGAAAAAATGTAAATTGTTTGTGTAGAATGCAATTTTGTGAGTAGGGCAAGTGTATCAATGTTAGAAAGCAAGGAGTTTAATTAGTTGCCTATCCAATAAGTTACCTTATAATTCAGATAACTCAACAAAAATGTTGTAAGCTTTCATCGATAAATAACAATAAAATAGTATATATTTGTTATATAGAAGGTGCTGAGTGATTACTATTGGATGAATAGTGCTACTGAGTACTAAGAAATTGATAGAATTTTATTTTAAGAAAGTAGCTTAAACAGACAAGAAAAAGTACGTCCTTCATAACTATTCAATTAAACGATAGAAATAATTAAAGCCCTTCGGAACAATCAGATATGATAATGTCATATATTTTCAGCTTACTTAAATATTTTCAGTACATTTTATTGTCAGTGATAAATGATGTGCGCTTAATAAATCAAATCTACATTTTTAGTGTCCAAATATATAATTGTTAGGTTTAAGTATGCCATACCAAACTGAAACGTGAAGAAAGATTTGGCGCAGACTGAAGTATTAGATCATGGCCGCAATTTATATATTTACTTTTAATTTGACAAAGAAAAGTCTAGACTTAAATAAATACATAAAATAATGCCACATAATTATATGGGGTTTCAGCAGTACTGAATAACATTCAATACATAATTAATGTAGGATTACTTGAGAAATCGATAGGCTCAGATAGTGTCTTAAACATTGTTTTCTTCGTTTTATGTAACTTTCAGTTAGTCGTTTGTAAACTAATTTGGTAATAATAATAAGACGTAGAAAGATTTGATATCATTGACTTTTAAGAAATAACATTATTTCTATATATTATACACCTCTTTCTCTTTAAATCTAGTTCAATCAAATCAATGATGTTTTAATTTGATGTCACGCTTTCAATTTCAATAAAATAGTAAACATATGAATTACACTCTTGTCACATATTGACTATGTACTGGCAACTGTAAAATCTTGTAGCAGATTCCTCTTACCGATTATATTGAACCAAAAAATAACATGAAGTTTAACAAATATATAATGTTGCTACATAAAATATTGAAAAATGTTTGAATTACTTGAGAACAATTATTGCTGCAAGGCGTTTTCATACGTCTTACTGACAATTCGGAATTTGTATTCCATACAATTATTTCATCATTATATGAAGCAGTAATTAAACCATTTGGAGGTAATCCTGTTCAACATAATACATCATCTAAGCGTTCCTTATAAGTTGACAGTATTGTAAAGAATAAATATATATAATGTAAGCAAAAAACTTCAATTTGTTTGATTTTGTATTTATTATTAATACTGAGGACTGACTGAAAATATTTCGACAAGAAAATAGCACCAAATGTCTACATAGATCTAAGCACTTCTTTGTTTCTTAATAAAACTGAGGATATGAATCCGCTTCACCAAATTTATTCCCTTTTTTATAATTCCAAAGTATCAGCTTTATACAATTATGATTAATTACTAAAAAATAAGTCGACATTAATTTAACCAAATTAATTAGCATTGAACAGTTTAAAACTTAGTTGTATATTGATACCTCAGTAAATTTGAAGTTACGAGCTATGATGTTGAGTGACCCATCATGTCTGACTATTATATTGCTTTAATTAACAGAACTACTTACATAATATAAAATTAAAACACACAATTTTAATAATATCCATTAGAATAATGAGAAGTATACTGCCTTCAAGCCACATTAATTGTTCTAGATCATTCAAACTTGAGAATGAGAAGTTGAATTCAAATCATTTAAGTGGGTACGAATGATGTTCAGCAAAAAAAACAGACACGTTTTTAAACTGTGTTTACCAGTAGTAATTATATCGTCTGTTATCTTGTTACTAAAGATTTAGTACCATAAAGTCTATGAGGATGAAACTCTGATTGTTTAGGTGGTAACATTGACTAAGAGAACACACAAACAAAACTGTTACTTTTCTAGTCTCATAATTATAAATTTTTCAAACAGTTTTTCACTTTTATCAAATAAAACAAGAATTATAATCAAAGAGGGTTTTTGTGGATATTATAGTAATTTAATTGTTGAATTTATGAGTCAATTAAGCTAGACCACTATGTAAAACCTGAACCAGTGGAGTTCAACCAGGTCTATTGTGGGATAGTAAATCACTGAAGACAATGGTGGACAGTGGCGCAATTTCATGAACTGGTTGAAGTTAGACATTAACACCGTTGGATGCTGACTCAGTGGTCTACTGGTTAAGCGTTCGCACGCGAGACTGATGGGTCCTGTGTTCGGATCTCGTGAGGTGGGATCGTGGATGCGCACCACTGAGGAGTCCCATGGTAGAACAAAACGGTTTTCCATGGTGGTCTAGCTTCAACTGACTCATGAATGCAACTATTAAACGAAAACAATTACTAGTGAATTAGTATAACCAACCAAACACATGTAATTTGCCTAACTAAAATGCATAAATGCTGATTTTCACTATTAAATAAAAAAGGATAAATAAACTCACTGGTCCACTTTTCCATTGGGATGGATAAACGTAGTGGTTATGAAAATCAGTTGTTTGAAATATTGTAAAATGATTTGAATTACCAATTGCAATAACTGCACGTTTTAATATAACTATTTGATCAACTTCATTATGTGTATTATTATTATTACTGCTGCATATTAATGTGTTATGGCAGTATCCATTCATATCCCAGATCTAAAGTTTTTATCACAAAAAGTCAAAATATTTCTCAGTAAAATACGATAAGTTTTTAAATTTGACTTACAACATAAATCTTGTTAATATTAATAATAATTATTATTTATACATTCTGAAAATAATTACAGAATTCATGCCAGTTTACAGGCACGATCAATTTGATATAAATAGTAACATCAGATGTAGAGAACAAACATATGATAGAAGAAAGTTTTAAGTATACTAGTTCGGTAATTGTTTAGTTAGTACGTGTATTAGAGCGATCCAATGCAACAGTCGGGAACTTTTAGTTTTTCTTAAATGGACAGCCTGTTGTTTCATGAACGGAGTATTTAAGGTCATTTCGTATGCCAGATCAAATTAATGATAATTATCTACAACTAGAGAAATTAAAACGAAAACAGAAAGCACGGAACAACAAAGCAGTAATTACCAAAATATGTCAATCATGTCTACCAAAATGCATGTATCATAAGACACAGTGATATACTGTTGATGTTATTCAAATCAAACTTGCTGGGGTCAGTGTTAACATCAAGTGACAGCAAGTAGGTGGTTTTACTTAGGGAATGCACTGATAAAGATGGCTAAACATTTAAAGTTCCTATAATATCACTTGTGAAATGAGATATACTTACAGGTGCTGGAACATTCAATGCATTTTCAGAGAAGCAGTATGCATAGATGCAGCGAACAAATAATGGGAGTGATTTTATCGTACGAATATGTTGTGGTAGGTTATTCCAGAGTCTAGAAAATTTACAGGCAAAGTGATTGATATAAAGACATGATTTAGAATAAGTTAGTTTCACTAGTGACAAGGAATTACGGATGTCATTATGAGAAGTTTCTGCATATTGAATCACATGAGTGGATGTAAAGGATAGTTTATTAAGTTGTTTGAAGAAAAAGATAAGATTTAGTTTGAGTCTCCTCTTTCATAAAGAGTCTAGCTCAAGTTTATTACATCTAGAATTATAAGTTAAGGTACGATCAGCTCCAAGAATACGAAGTGTAAATCGTCTCTGTACTGATTCCAGATAAGAAATCAAAATGGGTAAAATAATTAAATAATAGTATTATCTGTGAAATAATTTACTAAAGTAATTTCAATTAAAAAGGTTTTGTAAGAAAACCGAATTTAATGTTACAAAATAAGGAGTTATGCTTTGTTCCTCGTCCCTGGAGAGTTTAGGATAATTACTTGAGATTACTTCATAAAGAGAATCTATATTTCATGAAAGCAACTAATCAGATATTACAGCATTTGGTAACATTATGTATTTTAACTGATCCATAGAAAATGACAATTTCTTTCTAAACACTGCTTAAATGGGTTTTACCCCACATAAGCTGTTTACCATTGAAAGAACTTTGTTAGAACTTAAAATTTTTTTTAATTTTTGATCATATTACATGAAACTGTTAATTCTGAAAATATTCATCATACTTTAATTGTACCATTAGCACTTCCTGTATAAAATCTGGTTTCTTTTGAATTTTGGACCAAACATGTTAATTCATTCTCATCATGACTATGAGAGATACTTTTAACACGTTGACCTGTTTCAATTAACCAGAATAATATTGTTCCATTTCGCGATGCAGATATAATCTAAAAGTGAACGAAAGATTAAAAAACGTTGTTGTTGAGATAAAAACAAGTTATTCTTGCCAAGAACAGAGATCGAAGCTTCAATAATGTGTACATATCAGAAATAAAATTAGAAACGGGGTTTTGTGGAGATCGTAATAATTTAATAGTTGAATTCATCAGTCGATTAGAGCTACAACATCATAAAAAACCTGGAAGCACTGGACTCACGAGTTCAACTATTAAATTACTACAATCTCCAAAAAACCCCTGTCTGATAATAATCATCATATGCTCACTAGTGACTAGCTTCAAGAGGTATTTTCTGGAGATCTGGTGAAAAGCCGTGACCAGTGGAGTTCAACCAGGTCTATTGTGGGGTAGTAAATCACTGAAGACAATGGTGGACAGTGGCGCGATTTCATGAATTGGTTGAAGTTAGACATTAACACCGTTGGATGCTGACTCAGTGGTCTACTGGTTAAGCGTTCGCACGCGAGACTGATAGGTCCTGTGTTCGGATCTCGTGAGGCGAGATTGTGGATGCGCACCACTGAGGGGTCCCATGCTATGAAGAAACGACCGTCCAGTGCTTCCAGGTTTTCCATGGTGGTCTATCTTCAATCGACTCAACAATTCATCTACAAAATTAATATATCTAAAAAGATTTTTTTTCTTAACAAATTTCAAAACAATCAGATGCCGATATTTGTAAAATAAAATCATCTTCAATAATTGAATAAAATTAATAAAAAGTAACACTGTATTTAACTTTTACAATTAAAAAAGAAATTTATTCTGAAGTAAAATAATCACTAACAGCCTTTAATTTAATTCAAAATACGTAATATTTAGACTTAATACTAAAAACATTTTATTGAACTGCTAAAAAAACTTCTGTACGATTAACTTCTGGTCTTTCACAAAATGCGGACCAATGTTTTTCCCTTGTTTAAAATACATTTCCATTTGCTTTAAACAAACCGTCAACTTCAAAAGAAATTATGTCATAAACTATAACTTATTAATCCATTAAAAAACGGGAACATAATATCTTTGATTTAACTGAATGACAATTAATAATGAAGTAATCTCTCATTATACACTAACCTGTTTAACTGTTGAATTATATATAAAACCAACTAATGGCTTTTCATGACTTAGAAGACGATTGTTTACTACAAACGTCATTTCCATTACTGTTAGTGTATGATTAAAACTGAGGAATAGACGCGATCTATCTTCATGGAAATACATGTGTTGTAGCTTGTTAGTGAAAACAGAAACGATAAAAAGTAGTCAAAAATGATTATGCAAAATGATTACTAAATATTCATGTGTTCAACTGCACGAAATTAGTGTAAAGTCATAATCCATATACTTACATTACATTTAATGTCATAACCGAACCTACTTGATTAAGTTTAACATCAGTAGCTTCTAGCATCTAAAAACCCATCATACTGAATCTTATAAAGTTCGTCAAATCAACTTCTAGACCAATGTATTAGGATATGATTTGTGGATATTGTGGGAGAACTAATGATATTACCTGATTTCTTAAACCAAAATAGATTACTGGATAGATAGGCTATCTCTTGAGATATTTTAAGACTAAATTAACTAAGCTTCACATTATCCAGTTACGACATGGTTTACTTCGTTTATTGTAAATATCGAAATATTTTGAACATTGTGTTTTTAAGTAGCAGATATACATACTCTATATAAAGTCGTCAGATTTCTGGTAATATTATGTTCACTAGGATCGAGGTAACATATATCCCAATAATTAACATTAGTGCCAGAGAAAAGGCTTGTTCACACCAAGGGTTACAGTAACTATAGCGTTTCTTCATAGGTCAATAACTTAAGTACAATAAATTTGTAGTGAAATAATGTTTGACAACAGTTGTTTAAATGACACCTACTAGTACTAAGACTCATGGTACAACGACTATTTAACTTAACAACTGATTAAATACATTATTATCTTACCATTTGATCCTTTTGGGCAAATACCATTTATTGTTTGTAAGCATACTTGGAGTTGAGTGTCCCATATACGTAAAGAACGATCTCTTGACAAACTAAGTAAATAGCTTCGCGAAGTATGGAATTGAACCGCTAACACAGGAGCTAAATGTCCTTTCAGTAGCTAAACATATGAAAGGTAAAGAAAATATATGATTCTCAAATTTTGTATATGTTTTTACAAGTTAGTATATTAAGTTAACAGTTAAGAAAACTGTCCTTCGAAATCCTTAGAAAGAAACGGAGAGGAATTTATCGAGTGCTGTGTAAAAATTTCTGTATTGTGCTATAATAATTTTGTTCATTACAGAATTTACTTGAACGAAAAAATGCAGGAATAGCAAAGATATTTGATTTATGCTTTTTTTTAATTTTTATGTGAACTGTTCCTCAGTAGGTAAGTACTTTTTAAGGAATATCCAGATATTAAAGATGAATTACAAATATTATGCGTAATTTTTAAATTCAAAACCTGACTTTATTAAAATACATATTGTTGCAAAGTAAACAGTCTTATTTTCATTTGCAGTCGACACTGTGGATTGACTTTAGTTACACAACCCTTGTAAAACACGAAGCACTGGATAGGTGTTACATTTTATTTTAGGATTCTTTATCAGTGATTATCTGCAACACCTCTAAGGATCAAATTAGAAATCTGCGGACTTCATTAAAAGCTCTTAACCTGTAAATTGTCAAGTTAGTAATTTTAAGTTTAATGACATCATGAGTCTAATCTCGCTTTAACTTGCAATCTCATTTCAGACTAATACGTAGAAACAACAAAAACAATAGCTGTAGCAGAATGATGTGAATCCCTCTATTTCCGTAATTATCTTCAACGCTATTCTATTTTTGGTCAGTACAATGAAACTGATACTAAAAATCTTACCACTTGAAGTTTAGAAAAATGTTTAATATGATGAATCTTACCACACTAGGTTTAGAGACGACATACTTACTTACTTACTTACGCCTGTTACTCCCAATGGAGCATAGGCCGCCGACCAGCATTCTCCAACCCACTCTGTCCTGGGCCTTCTTTTCTAGTTCCATCCAATTCTTGTTCATTTTTCTCATATCTATCTCCATTTTACGGCGTAATGTATTCTTTGGTCTTCCTCTCCTCCTTCGACCTTGAGGATTCCATATGAGGGCTTGTCTTGTGACGCACTTCGGTGCTTTCCTCAATGTGTGTCCTATCCACTTCCAGCGCTTCTTCCTGATTTCTTCCTCCACTGGGATCTGATTTGTTCTCTCCCACAGTAGGTTGTTGCTTATAGTGTCCGGCCAGCGGATCTGAAGTATTTTGCGTAGACAACTGTTAATAAACACCTGTATCTTCTGGATGATGGCATTCGTGACTTTCCAGGTTTCGGCCCCATACAGTAGAACTGTCTTGACATTTGTATTGAAAATTCTGACTTTCGTGTTGGTTGCTAATTGTTTTGAGTTCCAGATATTCTTCAGTTGTAGATATGCTGCTCTTGCTTTGCCAATCCGTGCCTTCACATCTGCATCAGATCCACCGTGTTCATCGATGATACTGCCCAAATATGTAAAGGTTTAGAGACGACATAAGGATCCCATAAACAAACATTAGAATTTATTCCAGCAGTTGCAATCTGAGCGCTACTATCGTGGAAATCGAAGTCATTTATACTTTGATATATAGCGAACACAGAGCTAAAAGTTGACAAATGAATTCAAGTATTTATAAAACTATATTTGATGGTTTCGATAGTAAATAATTACTGCTTAGACTGATTGGGTCATCCTTAGTAATGAGTTTTCTAACATTAAAATATAAAAATAAAATCGTATTAAGATTTTTAGATTAAGTTGTTAATATTTATTAGTTTACATAACAGTCTGAGGAAAATAAGGCACCAAGCTTTCAAAAATTTTAGTGGTTCAATGATTAGAATCCGAGAGACCTTTTTTATATATCTGAACTATTTTAAATATATGATGAATTGCAAGTTATGATAAGAATGAGGTTTTTGGAGATTGTATTAGTTCTAATAGTTCAGTTCATGAATCGACCCGTAGATTCCAATCCGTGTCCGGTAGAGACAAGTATCTACCACAGACAATCGATGAATGGTAGCGCAACAATTCACAGATCGATTGAAATTAGGCGTTAACACTGTTGGATGCCGGCTCAGTGGTCCAGAGGTTAAGCGTACGCGCGCCAGATCGAAGGTCAAGGGTTCGGATCCCGCTTATGGGATCATGGATGTGCACTGCTGAGGAGTCCCATACTAAATAGCCCTCCAGTGCTTCCAGGTTTCCAATGGTGGTCTAGCTTACATCGATCCATGAATTCAACTATTAAAACGGCAAGTTCTCGTACTAAAATTCATTCGACTTTCATGGGCAAAAACTATATACATTTATAGCATCAAAATGACTAACGGATCGAAACTCCAGTAATTCATACATTAAGATGATGTCATGTAAGCAAATTAGTTTAGTAAACAATAATATCTTTCAGTCTATTTGCAATGATTCTTTTAACTTTATATATTTTTGATATAATCTGTGGATTGATATGCTGATCATGGATTAGAAACGTAATGTATCTAACTACATTTTTATGTATTTTTTTCCAAATGGTTAAATGTAACTAAACTGAATAACGAAGGGAAACTTGGGCGAAACATTTTTATTATGAAAATAAATAAATTCAGTTTAGTTTTGCAACAATAGATTTATAGTTGTGAATATTCAATAGCGTACTTACCGATGGGATATCCTTTTTGGTGTATAACTGAAAATCGAGAAAATTATTTTTACATAATGCCGTGACATTCATTTATATTAGAGGAATGATATCAAAGAGATTAGGAGTCACGTAACCAGGAATTGTTTCTAATGTCATGAGCTTATGAAATCTATGATGAAAGGTTGATAGATGGAAAGTAAATTAAATTTTCAAGCAAAACGCTAAACAGTTGTATCATTGCCAAGATTTCAAGGCTCTTTTAGCCTAGTCGCTATTACATGCATTTTTGCAAAATAAACCCAATGGTAAAGTGAACATGAAATTTTTAAAATTTTCTAAACAGTTGATTACATGATATTCAAACAAGCATATTTTCACTTAACTGTTCAGAGTTTCCTTTATTTTTTCGTCGTTTTAAATAAATAATAAACTGTATTAAGTACCTCTTTACATTGTTTGTGGCTTTAGGATCTCATAGTCAAACAGTGTTGAACTCATGGACCGTTCAAGGTTAGATAACTACTGAAAACGACGGATTTTCGAACATGAACACATACTGTTTGTGCAAATGATGTTATTAGCATTCTAGTTATGAGGTATTAAATTCTTCTGATCAATATTAAATTTTGTTTATGTTGAGATGAACATGATCTAAAAACTCTGATTGTCCCCCGTTATTTATAAAAGTTATTAGAAAGGATGTTCAAACCCGTGACTCAAAAAACCCGACGCAACTGTAATAATCGTAAATTCAAATAGATGATAGAACGACAAATATAGACCTGACGTGTTCATAGTCATTACAACACTCACATTCATTCATTTATCTAAAATCAGGATTAAAGTTCTGATGATATTAAACACATCAGCTGTTCGCTTCGAATAACATTCAATAACGGATAATTACGCACAGTATCTATCTTAAACTTAAACAGTTAATTTATACAGCTTAAGTCATTTAAATTTCTAAAAAAATGAGTTCAAAATGTCAAGAATAGTCTGGTTTGAACAAAGCAAAAAATGAAATAAATAATAGTTGGTATAAATGTCATGATAAACTGTGAAAGCGATCACAAAACTACATTACGTTACGGAGAGATCACGATATAATCGAACTTGTCAAAGAAGACGTGGTACTGAATTGATTAACTGCGTTTGTTACGTAACAAACGACATAATAGTTTGTCCTAATAGGCTAGTGTAAATGCAGTAAACATTACACTACTCCGTCAATGATTGATCGTGTCTCATCGAAATCACTGAGTAAATCTATACGATTCATTTTTCTGACTAGATAATGAAATCAATTACACTAGTTTTGTTCTGTGAGTTGGGAAAAAAGAAACCAAAATAATTATCAAACTTGGTACAGCTAATCTCTTGTTTAAATCTCAGTTTGTTTAAAATATAACTATTATTCTGTAATCGCACCCGAATCCTGTACTGTTAGTAAGTTCAATGGACTTTATTTAATAAAAACCTGGTTTGTAATATATTGTTGTAATTCATTTATTTCCAGTACTAAATTGATTAACTTCGGTTAGTATTTGATTGTCTTAAACAGATAGTGATATGAGATTTAAATTTTCATTATAATAATTTTTTGAAAGACCACAAGCTGACACAAGTCTTTCGCTCAAGTGGTACCGATCTGAGTAAAATAAACTTATTACTAAACAAAATCTTATTCGTTATATCATAGGTTAGTTGATAAACCCCACACGCTTTATATGATGGATTCTAGGTTAACGTTTTAGTCCAAAAAACAACATCATGATTTTGAAGTCTACATGTTAGATGAATTGCAAATAGTACAAAACATACTTAAGTTTATTTTCTGCTATATTAGTAATATATGTAATCGGGACATGATTAATGTTTGGCAAGTTGAGTTAACGTAATTAATTCTTGATTAATTCAAAATACTGAATAAAATAAAACAACAAACTTCGAAAGTTCCATCAGCCTGTAAAGCATCATATATTTAAATTAAATAAAATTCTGTAAGGAAAAACAATATGATTACTTTGACATACTATGTACTTTGGCTTTTTATCATAATAGACATCAAAGGTAGTTTCTCTAACCAAGTAATAATCATAGTGTTATTTCCAATCCTCGAACACGTAATGAAAGCTTCAAGGTGAGGAATATACATTACTGTAGAAAATATGAACTTTTAAATGAAAATTGAAAACTTTAGCTAACGTTTGATAATCCAATCTGTGTGTGTATGTGAACGTAGGAATGAAACATAATTTGA